TGTGTGTGTGTGCGTGCGTGTGTGTGCGAGCGTGTTCATCTGCTTTTCCTCATCTGTTTCCTGCAGCAGACCAATAGTCTGTGAAAGCCTCTCTCTTTCTGGTCAAAGCTCACTGCTGTTCTACTCAAAAATGACCCCCCAAAGGTTTACACAGTAACATTGCTTAAAAGCAAAAAAAAAAAAAAACAAAACAACAAAATTGGATTAAGAAATTAATACAATTTGGTCCACTCTTCTCATACAGCTCTGTATAAGAAGTATGAAATGAACTGAAACTTTATGACATGCCAAATTCAGAATGTAATGGCGCTACTTTTTAATAAGACTCCCCTTATTGATGGCTAATAAATAGTTTATAGATGTGTTATTAATTATCTGTAAACGCTTTATGCAAAAATAAGCTGATTGTTGGACATTACATTAGAAAACTGTCCAAAATATAATCAATAGATCAATCAGTGATTTACAACAAAGACAAATTCAAAGGATAGAGAAAATGAATGAATCAATTGATTGTCCATTTTCAAAACAGAATAAAGAAAGTCTGGCTGATGGACTTATGCACACATAAAGTGAACACACACACACACACACACGCACACACACATAGAAGTATGCTTGATTTCTGTTCTTATCACTGTCCCTGTTTTCATTGGATTCTTTTATTAGATGGGTGATACTTATGAGGTTGCTATGTAGTGTTAAAAGAATTCAAAGTATTATGCTGACATTTCTAAATGACTCAAACACACCACAAGTCTGCTTCTGGTTAACCCTGCATTGATAAAATTATGGTTTATAGAAGATCTCCTTTAAACTAAACTATTTGGACTCAAAGTTGCTAAAGACCATCTATCAGTCAGTGAGTTATTCATTCATAGGGCTGATTAGCAGCACCGGTTTCCATAAATCCAATGCAATAACATCCAAAAAAAATTGTTTTCTTTATTTAAAGACAACAGTAAGAGACACAAATTCCCACTTATATGTATAAATGTATATATATGTGTGTGTTTCTGGACTCTGCCCTTTCAGTTCTGGGAAGACAAGCTAAATTCAGCTTTTCTGGGGCTTCTGTTCACCTCTTCCTTAACCTCCTAGGACCTGGCGTCCACATATGTGGACATCACATTTTGAGTTGTTTAGACCAAAATACTACATTTTGCTCTACAAGTGTCTGATATCCACTTATGAGGACATTATACTGCTATTGTTCTATCGAAATTTAAAGCGAATGCCCTCATATGTGGATCTCATTTTTCTCAGAAACAAAAATCAGGTTAAAAAAAAAAAAAAAATCACGTAATTCTTTGTTTTTACATTCATCAGGTCCCAATCAGCCCAAATAGCAAAGAGAAATTAAAAATGCATGCCATGAAAGAGTTCGGGTCTTAGGAGGTTACGATGTCTTTGTTTTCTCAACCTGAGTTTGCTAAGCTGCTCTGACTAAGAAGTCTCTAATCTCCTTTGTAGGAGTGCTCTTCAAACAAAACTGGAATTAAAGTCATTATATTAAATGGATAAAAGTAATTATTATTACCCTGCCACCAAGGGAGCAAGCCAACAACCACACTGGAACATCCAGCCACGCACCCCAGAACAAACAAGCATCCACATCCCAAAGACGGGCAGAAGCATCCAGCCGGGAGCAGGACCATGTCCCACAGGGGTCAAGGCTTAGTGAGCCCCAGGCCCCGCCATGCACACACACACACGCACACACACAGACACAGACCATTCACTTATTCAGTCATTTTGAAGGTAATTAAGTAAATTTGTGTCCAGGAGTTTTGGTCTGGACTGAAGGAAAGATCTCATTACCACTTTACAAATACACATACACATAGAAGTATCCACGGGGAGGAACTCGTGGATTTGGGATATTATACGTATATAGCGGCATTTACTGTATCTAATAACACACTAGTAAACCAACAACAGACACTGCATATTATAAAGCTGATACTCCAAACACCGATCACAGAGTTCACTGTTCATTTTTTCCTGTGTGTATTTTGTGTAGATTAGAGAACACCAACCTGCTCCAAAAGCAAAAAAGAAGCTCTTGTCTGGGTGTTCCTCAAGCAGAGCCTTGACCCTCTTGCCCATCCTTTCATTTCTCTTGTAGATGAGTTCCTGTCGGAAGTAGCTGTCTATTTCCTGGGCAGTGGCCTGCTCATTGGGTGGCAGTGTCACATTATTGAAGTTAGGGACCTATAGTTCCCAAGGTAGTTGGCCATGAAAGTAAAACACAGAAGACATGATTGTTTATTTATAGGTTATTTGCAAACCTTTGACTAAGGTTAAATCAATAAAAAATCTGAAATTCTTAAGACATATCGTTCAAGGGTTTTTACTTATTTATTTTCTTTACATGACTGATGGTACAATTGACTTAAAAGCCTTTGGACTGACAAAGATCTCATGAGATTGGCAGGAGAAACATATACTGTAGCAATGGTGGCAAAGAAAGAACAGAAGTAGCTAAGTATGGAGAAAGTGCATGTGTGCGCTGGGGGGGTGTGGGGTGGGGGAAGAAGAAGGTGAGGTGGGTCAGTAGGTTAGGGGTGAAAGTAAAAGGTTAAGGGTTGTGCCAGTTGGACAAACCTAAGATCAAGGGGTCAAAATGAATCTAAGCTTATTAGACAGACTGAAAGTTACAGATAAGACAAGACAAGACAAGATAAGATGAGATTGTGGATGATCTGACCTGTGATGTGTCATGATTGAAGATAATGGAGTTGAGATCTCCACAGTTGTAGTGCCTGATGAGGTCTTCAGTGGTATATGGGACCTGTAGGCTTCCTGCCCTTAAAGACTCCTGTTGTAATAAAGTCTGGTTCAGGGCAAAGATCACCTAAAATAAGACAGGGATAACCAATTAATGAAAGATTTACTTCTACCTCCCTCTAAGAGGTTTTTCTGGGGTCAAAAATATGAAGATCAAGCAAATTAATGTCAATTATATGTGTAAAATACAACTTCTAACAATCAAACAAGCAGCGAGTCAGCAACCTCACACATACATGTGACCATTGGTATGTTCTGGTGTAATTACTGGATACCAGCAATAAACAGTGCCCTCTCAACTACAAGCCAAAGCAATCTTTGAACAGTTATTGGCTGTGCAGTGTGCCACTGCTAAAACTGCCATGCAGCTGAAGAATGCTATTGTTGGGAACCATTTACTGATGACAGTTGTATTCAGGAGGCTTCACTCTGTGACTCTGAGGTTTTATTTCAAGGCCTGCCAAAGAAAGAGACAATCAAATTGAGAGTTAAAGATATTCCCAGATCAGCTGTTGAGCAATGCAGCACAAAAAAACAAAAACAACAAAGAAAGAGGATCAAGAGAAATGACAGCACATGTGGCTGTCAATGCAAGACTATGTCAATTATCCGTAAGAGAGAGGAGCTCTGCTGCTAAAAAAAACACAAATGTCTGATAAAAGGTGAGAGGATAGCTCACCTAGAGCGGAAAATCTTGAGAAGCGAGGAATCCACATGAGGAAGATTTTTGCTGTGATGATATGTAGTGGTAACTGCCACAGTGGGGAAATGGAGAGGAGCTATCAGTTTCAACATAGCGCAGCATGCCTAGCCTTTTGGAGTCCAGCCTGGCTTAGAGTTAAAATGATCCATTATCTGAAAACTATTTTATGTACACTCTTTATAGGATTCCATTTAAAAGTTGTTGAGCTATACTAGTCTGACCGACAGACACTGTCAGCAAACAGCAAACATGTTAAATTTTAGGCAAGACTGGGCATAAAATTCTGATTTACGTGTCCTATTGAATTAACCACTTTAAAAAGGACACTTTTTTCTGCCTGGACCCCTTTCAGCTTTGCAGCACAGATTCAGCTTTTGTGTGAGCATGAAATCAGCCAGTGTTTGGTTAGAGAGGCCTGGTGAGATGAAAGACATATGCACACATGCACATGCAAATATAGATATACACAATTACACATCAGCGCACGCACATGCTCAGAAAGCTGTACAGTCTACACATCAGACTTGAGACAGGGGTTCGTACAGAAAGCACCGCCAGTCACCTCAGTGCATGGTCTCCCTCTGATCTCTCACCGCACACACACAGACACATGCACACAAACGCACACCTTTCACCCTGGAAGCCATTGATCTCAATCCCAGTGACAGAAGAAAGTTTTGTATAGTTTATTTGCTTCTCAAAAGGAACAATGAGTCAAAGTGAATACGTTTTTGGTTAGCAGTGGAACTATGTAAATTTGTCCACAGTATGTCAGCATGTTTTTGCAATTCACCAGTTTGTGTGTGAAGCCTCAGCTCTTGAATTCTGTAACGATATGCGTATCTGTATGCAAGGCGGACCTGAGCGGCTATTTTTTTGTTATGTTTTTGCTTTTTATGTTCTGCTTTCTAAGGTGCTCCGATGACACTTTTCCCCCTCGGCTTCCCCTTTGTGGGAGCCTCCTTATAGCTGAAGAGAGCAGGAGAGGAGAGCAGCGTGGAGCAGATGCCTTCTTGTCAGGGGGACAAAGAACCCCTCCGTCACCCTCTCTTCTCCTCTCCTCTGTGCTCCCTCCAGCTTTCATCGGCCGCGCATCAAAGTGGAGCTCTGCATATGAAAAGGACCCCCGTCTTTATGCCACGCAAATTAGCCTATCGCCGCCCCTCCCCGACTCATTTCACAAAAACACCCTCACATCTGTGCCATCTCCGTGAAGGAAGGCCCTCATCTGCAGGGTCTCCCCTTTTTCACTGCTCTCCCTTCTCCTCTTTCTGTGCTCGCCATGCCTTTCAGCCCCTTAAATTATGGTAGTGAAGGGAGAGGAGGAGGGAGCGGAGGTGTGGGTGAGGGGGAGGATCAGTCATATATAGGCAGCTTAAAGTACAAAACAAAAATGCGGGGAAGGAATAAGACAGACAGAAAGAAAACACTAACCAGAAAGTGAGGAAACAGAAAAAAAGCAGTAAAGTGGAGGACTGAAAGGAAGAAAACCTTAACAAATCATTCCTTTCTTTCTGCTGTAATCGTCCTCTTCTACTACTCCATTGCGGGTCAGCGGGTGCTTTTTCCCCACTCGGCTCCTTTCATCAGATCCCCCTGTTTCTTCTGCTGTCCCCTAACCCGCCCCCTCCTGCACACACAGACAGACACACAGACACACCCCTTGCTGATATCAAAGAAAGCGGAGCCAATGAAAGTCAATAATTGTCCTTTGTCATGGAAATCTCCCCTCTTGTGGAGATGGAGTGGGGTGGGTGTGTGCATCTAGAGCAAACATCATCACGGTCAGATTCCCACATGTGGAGATTTGGAGTGTTCAAAAAACTCTTGCTGCTCTCACCCTGGAGTTTGGAGTCTTAGTTTAAGGTTTTGAGTTTTGTAGAGTATTGTTAATGTGTTACACCTCCTCAACTATTTAGTAAAAATTGTCATTTGGTTGCGAGCCAAGTGGAAAGATGCTTTAAATCATGTGAAGGAACATGTACCAGAGCCAAATGTTGATTTTCTCTAAAGCAGAGGTGTCAAACATAAGGCCAAAATCGGGCAAGCAAAGATGCCAGTCCGTTTCACTGGAAGGCTTTTTTCATTTTGAACTTTTCAGGATATTTTCATACGTTTTACAACTTTTTTCTGTTAATAAAGATCCCTTGTCATTCATTCTACACCAAAGTTAGATAATGGACAAACAATTAAATGAAAAGTTCCTGCTATAGATATATCTACTGAATCATTTGTCTAGGTGTCTTTCTTTAAAAGAAACACAATACTTTTTAAAAACAAATAATTTTTGCTATCTTGACAAACTAACATTGTCCATTAACAACACAGATGAGCAGGACTGATAATGTTTGCTCTCTAAAGGCCCCAGTATACCCACCAGGTTGCTGGCTTCACGGCCTCATTCATTTATGCTCTCTGTTATGGCAGCAAAGCAGGTAGCCACTACATTACTTTCCTGATCAGAGAACTACATGTGCACTGATGTAGGAGAAGAAGAGATCAAAACAAGGAGAAAAAAACTGCTTTTTCCAGTTTTGTCCACAAAGTATCATCTTTTCAACTGTTCCAACATCTCCCTTTATATAATCTGTGAATGTCTGAGCATTTCTACTGATATACCATTAAAACAGCAGGAGAAAAAAAACAACACAGTCATGTCTTCAAGCAGGTTGCAAAACTTGATAAGTGCACGACCAAGAAACGGTGGCTAGTGACAGTAGATTTGACGTCAATTCACTGCACTGAATATAAAATATCCCTAAGTCCAAAATTAGCATTAGCATTTTATTGTTAGCCAAAGCCACTAGACCCTATTTTAATGATAGCACGCGGCAGCTCTGTAATTAATCAGGTAACATGTGTCCAGGCTAACATGTATGACAACTGTTGATAAAGAGTGGGCTGTTGGTCTTTTAATAAGCATCACCAAGTTTGTTGCACTACTTTTCATGTGTTCAGCTGCTAGTGAGGGGAAGGGCTGTGAGCCTGTCAGCTTACAGTGGGGCTGTGTAAAGCAGAGTGTCAGCTGGTGGAAGTGAAGAAAGCACTGTTGATTTCAATACTGCTGCAAATGAGTATCTAATGCGATATAATCTGTGCTTTTTCTTTATCAATTAGTATTCGAGTATCAGTGTTTTTTGGTTTGGTGTCAAAAGGTATCGAAACAGTTCTGGTGACAAACCTATTCAGTACTAATGTGATGGCACCATAAATAAGTCAGCACAATTAATTCCATAACACAGGAGTAATATGGGAATAGGAATAGTGTCACAGTTTAGAGAAGGACCTCTTTTGTATCCAGGGAAAGACAGCGGCACAACAGCCAGCAGCATTCAACACTGGTCTGCTTCATGTTACGTTAGGTTCAGTATATTTCGGCCTTAATGCTGCCATCATAATCACCATAATCATAACAAGCAAAGATAAGATGACTTTATGTCTTTAATCTCGCCAACAATGTCATCAACACATTCGGTCTGTATATAAATATATAGACTATGTAAACTATACGAGAGATCATGTCATAATATGAATCTGGCATAATGTGACCAACATGTAAACACAAAGCTATATTCCTTTTATGGCAAAGCCTCCAGCTAATTTATGTTATTCTGATTGTAAGAGCTGGCACTGAGATTTAGAGAGTGTTTGACTAGTTTAATTTTCAGCTGGGCTTTAATGAGACACTAAAGATGAGCATGTGTGCTGGTGCGTGCAAGCGTCTTTGTGGTTTTTTGTGATTTTTCCAAATATTCTGTTTTTACGTGCCTAAGTGAGCAGAAAAAGCATATGGAGTAACACACGTTTTATAAAGTAGGCTATCCACACTGCTGACAAACCATGTCCTCAGACAGATGCGTGCACACACACACAGAAAGAGAGAGAGTGAGACAGAGATCTTCCAGGCAATCTCCCAAGTACAAATGAAGACTCCCAACAGCTCCTCGGTTTCCTACTTGCTTGTGATGCTATCACAGTAATACAAGTCTCCTTTTCTCTTTATCATACATGCACATAAATAAGACAGAAACAGGCACTGAGTATGATTTATACCAGCAACAGTAAGAGAAAGGTTCAGACCAATAATAGAGAAGAAAACAAAGAAAAAAAGGGAGAGAAAAAGAACAGTAGTGAAAAGACTTTCACTACTGTTGTTATAGATGAAACCTCAGGATGAGAGTATAGACGAAGATGAATGCAGGCAGAAGTAGGCAGAGACAGGGATTCTGAATTACTTATGAGTGATGTTATCAGCGAAATGTTAGTCAGAGCAGTCAGCCCTAAAACAAGACCCATCAGGAGCACAGCAGCACTGCTAGGACTTCACAAAACAGTGATTCGGAGACCTTCTGCTGTCCTCAGGT